ACTTCCTTCAAGCTTCAGAACTGCCTCTTCTTTTTTTAAAAAAAAGCAACTTCAAGTTAATATAATAATATCTGTCTACAGTCAACCACAAATATTCTATATGATAACCATGGCTAAAGATAAGTGGCCACTTCTAAGAGAGATCTTAGAATCAACGGACAATAATGATACATTACCAACTGCCCATTATACACTTATATGTTTTATCGCAACTACTTAAATAATCTCCGTAATAAATTATGGAAAAATTCTAATTTAGCCAGGTGGGGTAAATGGGAGAACGCGATGAATTTCAAAATAGAGGAACTATATATACACATGGCTTTGCCTATACATAAAAAAAAATTCTAGAGTTAATTTATCTTAATTTAATTCGTACTAACATGCCAGACCCTTACACAAAACCAGAATTGCATCATCTTGTCACAACATTTCAAATATACCACTGCGATTACAGATGTTGAGAGCAAAGTCCCAATAGTGACCTATGTTCTAAAAGTTTTTTCCAACCCCTTTCCCAAACAACCCATTGTTCATCCAATTCTTTGTGCTACATATATTGTCGTATTAAAGAAGAAGATCATATAGTTGTTCCATACTATCCTGAAATTCTATTAATCTGGAGGGAACACATAAATTTTCAATACATCACAACCACTGGATTTGCCAAATATATAACAAAATATATAACCAAAGCCGAATCCTCTAAACTCTTTGATATTGATGAAGGCGATGAATACAGACGACACATCATGGCTTGACAATTAGGAGCAATGGAATTAATGGTACTCCTACTCCAACACCTGTTGACAAGATATTCAGTTTCTGTATATTATCTTCCTTCTGCACCTTCCAAACTAAGATCATGATCCGTTAAACTTATTCATCTACTAAATACAAGTAATAATAATGAGAATTCTGATAACAACGATTCTCCTTACTGGGATGATGCAATTGATAAATATTTTGATCGACCTGACCACAAAACCTTTCATTTTATTACTTACTCCAAATATTTTAAAATTTATGTCATAAGCTCCAAACAACCAGGTCAACGATCGAGATCTTTTCACACTCGCGATCGCAAAAACCAGATAGTTACTCAACGTAAATCACTTATCTTTCTAAGGTTCTCAACATATAAAATTGAAGATGGAGAACCCTTTTTTTTTCAACACTTCTTAATGAAAATCCCTACATGATCTGAACAAGAGTTATTAGGAGATTATTCTACATATAGAGGCTATTTTAAATCTATATTTCCTGTAAAATACCAACAAGCAATTGATTCATTATACGAAAGTTGTATAGAAGAAAGAACTAACTTATCAAATGCCTATGAATCAATTATAAAATCTCTTCTAACCGAATTTGAAAACCAAGAATTATTTAACTTAATATTTACCCAATTTCTTTCTCTAGAAAAACATTCACCCCATATAAGTTCACAATCTTTGTTAATCTTAGATACTAGCCAATATAACATCTATAATACATTATGCAATGTTTGGGAAAAATCTACTGACAGAAAATATCCTTACTTCTTCTTAACGGGTTCAGCCGAGACTGGCAAATCATCTATGATAAGCCAAATAATTTCCTACTTACAATCTAAAAATAAAAAATATTTATTAATTGCCCCAACTAGTGTTGCTGTATAATCTATACACGGTAAAACTATTCCTCTACTCTTAAAATTAGATTTAATGAAAACCACTATGAAATTCTGCTACATCTCAACCCCAATGACGAATTAGAATTAAAAAAAATTAAAGCTATAATAATTGACAAAATATCAATAGTAGATGGTAATCTCTTTACATGCATTAGCAACATTTTTGCTAAAATACACAACAATAATTTCATTTTCGGGGCTACACCAATATTAGTTGTAGATGACCTAACCCAATTACCTCTAATCCACCCCATACATATTTTTCATTCACCAGCCTAGTCAACATTCTTTCCTCTATTCTTAATGATTCCACAAAGACAACGTAATGATATCGAATTCTACAATGTCTTACAAGAAATACGAGTTGGAAATTTATTCAAAAGATCCAAAAATATCATCCAATCAAGAATCAACCTTGAAATCGACCTTGACAAATTTTATAACACTACTCACATAGTACCAACTTGACAAACTGCAGACAATATAAACAAATTACTCTGTAATAATCTACCATTTAATGATATCTGCAACGAACCTGTTATTTCTAATGCTATCGATACACTAGATTTCGAAACCCTACCTGAAAATTATTCAATATCTAATTTCAAATATTCCACAAACCTACCCCAATCTGTGCATTTACAAGAAGAAGCACGTGTAATGTTTCTAAACAACAAACTATTCGAATCAGAGATTTGCAATAGAACTATTGAAATCATAACAAACATTATTGATAATAAAAACATTGAAGTTACCTTTCCAACTCTTACTGCTATAAACAAAGTAATAGTCCAAAAAGAAACTGCCTTTTTTGAAATTTATAGCAAAAGAGCCTCAAAAAAACAATTTCCACTTCAAAATGCTTTTGCACTCACTGCCCACAAAGTACAAGGCCTAACCCTACCACACATAACCACTAATATCGATGATTCCTTATTTGCTGAAGGTCAAGCATATATTGCAATGAGTTGTGCATCTTCTTGAGAAAACCTTCAACTCTTAAGTTTCGATTACAAATGTCTCAAATGTTCTACAGCTGCTCTAAATGAATACAAACGACTTGAAAGAATACACACAAATGGCCTACAAAATTTACAATAAATCGCTAATAATTTATTAAATTAATCTAACAAATAAAAAAAATTCAATAAATAAACAAAAAAAAATTTCTCATTATACCTAATCTAATGAACATAACGCGCTTTCATAATTATTTGTCAATTTTTGTGCATTACCTCGTAAATATTACCAAATAAAAAAACCGCTATATATAAAAATAACTAAATTTATCACAAATTAATACCATTAAAAGTCTTTAGCATGAAGTCTTGATAACTTTAAATCTAAAACCATAACCTTGTCGTAAACAAAATTTAGACAAACCAATATTTTATTAAAGAAATAGTCCTAGCATATTACAAATCTAAAAAGAAAAAAACCAACACAAAACCGAAAATAAAAAAAAGATAAATGTTTGAACCCACTTTAAAACAATAATAACTAATCAAAAAATAAAAATATCTTGTACTATTCAATCCAATATCAAACTGATCTTTAATTTCATTCAATATTCATTATTCAATTACAATCCTACTAATTCGCCTTAACTCTTCTCACGAAATCTATAAACCTTATGTCCCTCAATTTCATATTCTTAACTATATTATAATGCAAGTTTCTGTATTAATTAGTATTACGAATAATAAGTTTCATAAAATACATAAAAGACATCTTAATTGCCCAGTTTGATTTATTTACTGTACCTAAAACTTAAATATTCAAGCATACCTCTCAGCCAACTCCAAATGACTTCATGAATTACTAAATTACAGACATACCTCTCTGAGTGCACCCTCTATAAATATACCCTTTATGTAAAATCTCTTTAAATGCACGGTATAATTTAGTACCATCTTATAATTGCACTATATTTTTTATCTCTATAAATGCACACCCTCTCTAAGTGCACATTTTAGAATTTCTCACTATACCCCCGAGGGGGGTGCATTTAGAGAGAGATCTCTGTACTTCGATAATTTTTTAAACTTTATAAAACAAAGTATACTTTATTATCAGGTTTGCAATACATAAGCGTGACACTCCATTTATCATCCAATCAAATTAATGCCCGCTATATATCAAACAATCTAAACACACTGCAACAGTGCGACGCTAACCCTTGTTAATAAAGTTATATTTGTGATTTGATTTTTAAATGCGTTCGTTTAAGAATTTTATTTACCTTGTCTCAATCTGCATGATCGATTTACGTTTGATGTACGTACGTACGTACGTACCGGAAAATTCTTACGAGGCTTATCATTATTGTCATGCATAATTTATTTACAGGTTTGTATCACAGCTATAAAAAAATCAGCCACGTATATTATTTTTTTCTGTTAATATATAGTAATGAAAAATCAGAAAAAAAAACAAACAAAATTACTTCGAAAAGTGGCATATATTTAGAGGTTGGAAGTACGGGTGGAAGCCCTCACCTTGTTTTATTCTTTTTCATCTCATTGCTAGTCTCAAGAATTCTTCCTATAAATTCGAAATCATTTCATCTTGATGAAATTCTCTTGTGGGAAATAATCTATTACATAGTCTGTGTGAGTGGGAGTGATATAGATAGACTAAAATTCTGTAGATATAAATGGTGTCGGAATTCTAGTGTAGAGAAAGATTATGGAGGTAAGAATTTTATAGTTAGTAATCGATGTAGAAATAAATTATCTGTAGAAATTGTTCCGAGAGCAAAGAAATAACTTGATGCTGGGACTCGCATTAAATGGCCTAGGATCCGCGTATCCCTCCCTCTTTGATAGCATCATACATTCATTCGCTTCTCTAGCATTTTTTAATAAAATTTCGCAATACATCAAATAAATGCCAATATTTTCATTGTTTGCCACGTTTTTATTTTTTGTACGTCGGAAAAATTAATCAGGAAAAAGCTGTAGACTAAGAGTCCAGCTTTTGCTAAGCTGTAGACTAAGAGTCCAGCTTGCGCTAACGTCACATTGCTGTAAGAGCATCCTTGTTAGACTAAGAGTCCCAACAGTTTGCCGAACTAAGAGTTCATAACTGGAGACTAAGAGTCCCAGCTTGCGCTGTTGTTCAGACGTGACGTTAGGTAGGTACTGTAAGTTGTCAGGCAACAATCCAGTAAATGCAATAAATTGTAAATTATTCGAAACACACCCTTGCGCAAAAGTATCGTTCTTGAGGTTGTTACAACACGCATTGTGGCTTAGAACCAACTTTTTGCGTAATCCAAGCAATCCGATTATCAAAACTAATTTTTCAACTCTCACATTCAAGAATGACTCATGCAATGGCCACCTTCATGGCTTTTTATCATGCTAACAAGATCGAAGACTGGACATGTAATAACCTGGTGGGATATTATCGTGACAAAACGGAGAAAAAAGATTGGAAGAAGGTATTAGATTGGATCAAAAAAGATCTCATTAGGGTGACAAGGTCCGACTCTGAGTTCGACACGATACGTAGAGGGAAAGCACAAGAAATCCTGGACAAATGGAAGGTAACTCATTGGATTTGACTAACTGAGAGCTAGTCTTTTACTCGATATACATACATTTATTTCGAAATGTTTCTCGCAAATATAATAATTTAAAAATTTTTTTTCAAGGATTGGACTGCATCTCACAATGACCTTATAAGAAAGGATTGCGCTCATGTGAATATGCGGGTAGGCTTCTTCTAGTCTGAAAATCTATGATAAAGGATAAATTAATAATTTTGTCAATTAGGTAAGGACTATAAGTACTATAAGTCAACTAAACAATCTGACCGGAGATTCAACACAAAATTTCGACAATTGTCGTATAACTTCGGGAAAACGAGACAGAGAAGAAACGGAAAGAGCCTCGCCTCGATTAAAAAAGGTGAGGATATCGTAATCTATGAAATGCAATATCATGATTTATTTATGAACATTGATTTTCAAATTTCAGGCGTTTTCTAGTGGAAGCTCAATGGAAGGACCAGATATTCGGAACTATTTCTCGCATATTCGTTCTGAGCAGAACGAACAAGATCAACGACCTCGAACCCCCGAACATAGAATTTATTCATCAGGCGCATCTGGCGCTTCCATGCCACCTTGGAACCGAGAGGTAATTGTATTATCATTATTATTTAATGTGTAAATGTAGTTTTTTTCAAATGACTTTGCGAACTTTATTTATGTACATAAGAACAAGAGCGATAATGATGAGTCACAAGAACTTTGTGATTCAGATAGTGACCCCATATCAGATCATAAATTACCTGACGAATTATCTGAGGTAATTAACCTTTGCTTTATTTTGCATAATCAATGTATTCACTTTTATCCAATTTTTAGGAATTGAAGGGTTTGGATGCCATTGAATTGACAATTCGGGATACTTTGCTCGAAATTCTCCGTCAGAACCAATCAAAGGATTTAAAATCGGGAAAAACACTGATGAACTCGACTTTCTTAAATGGGATAATAGATGTTTCGGATGCTAATTTGAAGAAAACGACTCGATCAATATTAAATAAATTGGACGAAGAACAACAGTGGTTTGATCGGGTTCTCAATAAACAAACATGGGTTTTAACTTCAGAGTTCATCGACTATTGCAATCAGTTCACGGACGACGTATGTAATCGTGTACTGTACAATTCCCTACTTTGGTACGCAAGTCCTTCGTCACAGGGCATTTTGATCCCTTTGTTCACGAAGGGCACGACATTGCACAGGACATTATGAAACACTTGTAAGTATTTTTGCTTATGAAATTACAATTGCATTCTTCGGATGATTACTGACATCAATAATACATTAACAATAAAATAGTTCAGTGCGGTTGGAAGCTCCATGCAATATAAATTCAAAATCGTCGAAACTGGAAAGAACCTACGCGATCGACACGATTATATATGTTATGAATAGAATTTTCCGTATTCATTTTGATGTTCTCGATGAAAACTGGTAAGTACCGATTGTAAGTTCCTACTAATTTGAGTTATATTGTTAATCTATTCTTTTTTTATCATTATTAATTTAGGATAGAAATACTTACTAGTGATACAAAGTCCCATAAGATCGATGGGGTTTTGAAGGTTTTTCAAACGAAAAAGTTTACACAGACAATCATAATTATGGAGTTTTCATACGGTCAATACGCTTCAGAAGACAAGGATACTGACGATCAAGTGAAACTGAGTCGCAATGCAAAAAGAATTTTAAACAAATTACTTGATAAAGTCCCATGTAAGAAAGCACGAGTTTATACTATTCAAAGTGTTAGTAAGTGTCATTATAATTATTTGTTAATAAAAAGATTCTTGGTTACCTACTTAATCTTTTTTTGTATAAGATGGAAATATTAGTATAAAATTTATGGTACGGCCTTTGCCTTCAATCTATCTGTATGAAGAGTTTGTTAGCATCAAAATACCTACGACTTTTGATGATATGGAGGAATTCGCCAAAAGTATGCCAACCCTTATGGATTTTCAGGTAACGGATGATGGTAAACATTTATAGATGCTTCTTGCATGGAATTGATAGTACTTTGTTTTTACTATCATAGGTTGATGTCTTGCGGACTGTTAAGCTGATAAATAAGAAACCAATTGAAGATCAAAAGGTGTATAAATCCGAAGTTAAAAACACGCCACAAAAAGACCGAGAAAAAAAGAAAGCCACTAATAATACCTTACCGTCATATCCTGAATCACCTTGTCCTGGATCACCAGGTGAAGATTTAATTTGATTTATTTGCATGTGTGGAAATTTATCATCAATGTCCAGGAATATAAAAATATGTTAGCATTTAGCTGTTATCTGTAGTACCAATAAAGTTTTACCCACATCGGGCTTGTACTTAGAGTTGGCAATCGAAACGAAACCTACCCGAAACTAGTTTCGGAAAGCTCTAATCCGAAACTAGTTTCGGATTTTT